TTTTAAAGCCAAACTTTATCCAAAAGCTTTTCTAACCACATGGTTGGATACAGCGTTCAATTCTGAACAAAATGACATATTTCCGATGTTCTAGACCCACCATCGAAAATTGGTATTAAAAATACGAAAAGTGACCCAAAATACTCGATTAGAAACTGAAAACAGGAATTTCACACATGTACATTTTGTAAAGCCTCTTGTTCAGTCATCCCGAATTGTAAAAATTTGCAAAACATCTCATTTTGTTTAGAATTGGACGCTCTATCCAACCATGTGGTTAGAAAAGCTTTTGGATAAAGTTTGGCTTTAAAAGATTTTCTAGAAAACTCAGAGCTTCAAGGTCTTTTATCGCAAAACCCCTACATGAACCAGATTGTTTTTTCTTTGGACATACAGTGTTTTCAATGCTCTTTCATTTAAAACCATCTGCGTCAATTTTGAAGTAGAATGAGAACCGGTGTGAGCTTCACACGATGGGTCAAAATAGGTGAGAAAAGGCAGAATTTCACTACTTTTGCTGGGTATGTTCGACGATATGGGTATGTTCCTTTACCTCCGAAGAAAAAACATAATGTTGTAGAATATGTAGAAAATTAAAGGACGGGGGTTGATAAGAGGCAAAGTCGGCCCCCTCTCAGATTAATCTCATATTCACAGGTCTGATGTAGCTTTTTGTTCGTGATTAAAACTGGTACCTTAAACGACCCATTTTCACACCTGGTAAAAATTTCGTATCCAAACTTTTCTCCCCTTCGATGAACTCTATTTAGAGTATTTTCCTCATTTCTTCTCTTTTAGTCAAAGCAAACCTCAACTACCTTATACCACTCGATAGAGAATTTCACGGGCTACAAAATGATATATATAATATTGAGAACAAATTGGGTCTCAGTGTCCTAACACTAGAAATACTAGCCCCAGCCTCCACAAATCCATAGGTCAACAGCGTTCATCGTTTATATTATCCAGTCATTTTCTCGTTAACCACTCCACTTTATATATCATTTGATAGAGAATGCGACGGGCTACAAAATCGTATATAAGATATTCAAAACAAATTGAGCCTGAGGGTCCTAACACAAGAAATACTACTGGAGAGTGTTTTTGGCATCGACGGATAGGCTAAATCCATATAAAACAGACTACCATTTACATCGACCTTTGATGTCGGTGACGAGATCTACCTCATATTATAGAGCTCAGCAAGCTGAACCGAATGGTGGAAATTGCAAGCCTCCAGCCTTGTTAGAAAAAAAGCTATAGCTATTTTACCCTCGCAGCAGAAAAATGCATTTTCGTCATTTTCCGGCGGATTTGACCTAACTTGCAGAACGTCTGCTGACCACATTCCCTAACGTAGAACCTTGAAGTTGGTATCAAATGAAAGATCGCATCGAGTTCTATATATTTCGATGAAGAAAAGGTATGCTACATCTCATAGTCTTGAGATAGAGCATTCTGAAAAACCCGGTTTTGTAGAAAATCTAGTGGTCGCAAAGTTTCTTTCGGAAACCTTTCAACCATATCATTAGATAGCTCCTTCAATTCTCCATAAAATAACATTCAGTTCCAGATTTGAAGACATCAGCTAACGAAGTGAAATATTATCGAAGTTTCTCTGTTGGAATTCTCAATAATTCTCTTGGAGGAGAAATGACTTTAAAAACAAAATAATAATTGGGAGCATATATAGTCCAAAGTGTCCTCTATGATTTTTCGATCAAAATAAGTTCATTTGATAGCCCAGGGTCTCTCCTACAAAGCTATGCAAGCCGCACATTTTCCCATTCTTTCGTTCGGCCTAGACCTCACACGTCGGAACCCAAAACACACGCTTTCTGGTTGGTCTGAGCTCGGATTCGCATGAAAACATGAATTTTTGCATCGAATGATATATAATATATTAGCAAAAGAAAATCTTGCTCGAATTTTGAATTACGTGCATCTTATTAAAATTTATTTAAAAATTCTCTATTTAAAAATCTCATTTTTCGTCTATTTAAAAATTCTCATTTTTTATTCAGTGATGGTAAACCTTTGGTGAAATAAGTTGTATAAATTTTGATTATAAATGATGAAATAACGTGTCAATTTATTTATCATTTGATCTTATGAAGATATATTAGAATAAATGTCAATCAGGATGCTATGTTTTTCTTTAATCTTATTAAACTACTTTTGATAAAAAAATTATCGAAAATATTGATATAATTTTTGGATAAAATGAGAAAAGATCTCGGGAAATTAGCAGAATAGATCTCGGAAGGAAAAAAAGACAGAAACGATCTCGAAAAAATGTTAGTTAAGCATTTCTGCAGAAAAGATCTTGGAATAATGAATAATCTCGAAGGAAAACACGTACATAAAGCACAGTATTATGAAATCATAACATTTTCAACTTCATTCTAACTGTAAACTTAAAAATGTTACGTCGTACCTGGAATGAAGTGCTCTTATGCGACAATGAAAGCGATTTATCAAATTTCATTAAAGATCAACATGTTTGTGTTTATCGAAAGGAAACATTTAAGACCGGCATATCGATTACATATAAATGTTCAGTATACCAAAAGTACCCATTGTGTCAGTTTCAACTGAAAGCAAACGAAAGTTCAGATGGGTATCAGGTCTATTCGTCGGAAGTACATAATTATCATACACGCGCTTAGATAAGTCATCTATAATACACGCTGGTGTGAGAGCTTTTGCTATTAATTAATTAATCCGAGATCTTTTCTACAGAAATGCTTAACTGATATTTTTCCGAGATCGTTTCTGTTTTTATTTTCTTCTGAGATCTATTCTGCTAATTTTCCGAGATCTTTTATTTTCACATCCTAATTTTTCATACCAAAAAGAATAGACAAAACAATTATCTCTAAATTGAAGAACGTTTCTTCGTTTTCGACATAAAAAGAGCAATAAAAATGAATATCACAATGAATAAATATGAAATGTTAGATATGTTCAATGTATGAAAAGCATACGTTTGAGTATTACTCTATTATTCATCGTCTTTATTTGGATCTCTATATTCGAAAAGAACTTCGTATTCATAGATTCGTTCTTGTCCATTTTCTTGTAATGGATCATCTTCATCAATTTTAAAACCTTCTGGAATAATTTTAATTTTCGATGAATTATAACCCTTTGGTGTAATAACAGTTTTAACGTCTGAAATAATTTCCTTGTATTCATATTTCATTGGTTTTTGTTTAGTATTTTTAAATGTTAGTTTAATATCATATGAAACACTATCACGTTTTTGACTCAATACTTTAACTTCACGATTATAGCTTATCTAAATATTGATAAATAATTGTTAATCTCATATGTTTTTTATAAAAATATGTATGTATATAATTTAGCTAATTCAGAACTTTGAATTAAACAGTAATACTTACATCAGGATCATTCTCTACATCTAATTCTTTCGTCACTGTTGTCTGTTTCTTATTTGACACTAGAGCGTTTGTCGAC